CTAGCATTACTACTATTTATTACCCACCAGTTATACAACCATATATTCACAACTATTTCCAAATCCCGTTATTAGTAATGGGTGAGTCAGTTAGTTTTATTATATTATCCATGAATATATTATATAGGTATAAGATTATACGGAAGTAAATACCTGAATATTTTTTATCTGTGCTTACAAATAATATTCCATTTATAGTAAGCGTAGTTTAATAAACTAAATTCGAAAAAATTATTTTCTACATTATCACTATAAATTTAAATATTAATTAAAAAAATATATAAATATAATATAATATTTATAAAAGTATCAAGGAACTGTTTTAACGCTTTTTTATATTATAAATAAAAATAGTTGAATGCCAAATTTATTTTATTTCATATGAGTATATAAATTAAATATAAATATATAAAAAAATATTAAAATTACTATAATAAAAAATTATATATATATAAATAAAATATTAAAACTAATATATAAAAAAAAAATATTAATTAAATATTATGTCCGATTTTATCAATAACCCACAATTTTGTTACAATGCAACTCAAGGAATCTGCCATTTTTATTTTCAATGGAATTTGTTAATTTTATTTTATTATACTAGTATTAATAGTGATGAAAAGAAAGAGGAATAAATAATAATCAATGAAGCATCAACAAGTTCAGAGTTTTTCCATGGCCAATTTATAGAGTATATTTTAAAATAAAATCATAGTTAATGAATTATCAATGTTTACAACTGATTGAAAACAAATAACCTGTGAAAAAAAAACAATTAAATAACCGATTTTTTCAGTACCCCATAGTAGTAGATATGATATGATTGTTATGTCTTTACGGAAAAACGAGGATGCCTTAATGACCAAAATTTTGAAAATATTTTATTACTGAAATCTAATAATTATTTTTAATCATATATTTTCATATATTATATGATTATATTAAAATCCAAAAATAATTATTTTAGTTATATTTAGATAAATGTAATATCGCGTCAATATATTTTTTTAGCTCATTTCATGCATTTTCACAATAGAATCCTAATTTAGGTTTATGCAGAGCTTATAAGAGTAGAATAAAAATTGCATATGTATCTAGATACATTTTAAAAATTGGATCTATAACAAGATAACTTTTTGATGATGTATCTGTATCTAGATCTAGATAATTTTTTAGTATGTGTATCTGTATCCAAATCCATCTAATAAGTATCTTTTAACAACTCTGATTTTTATATTCAAATAATCTTATTTTATTTTTATATTTAATAGATAGCATTAAAGAAAACCTTTGATATTTGTCCAATATAATATAGAAAATATTTGATATAATAAAAATATAAATAAATAATTATCAAATATCATGGTTTAATAAAATAGCATTATATCTATCAGCCACTTTAACAAACAATAATCCCTTAACTAGGTTTAGATATTGTATGCCCAACTACTATATGCCATTTAAGGGAAAAAACTTTTTATACTATATTTCAGCGTCTACATGGGCAGAAAATTTGATGGAGGCAAATCAAATCCCTCCAAAATCTACCCATACCCACCTAAAAAAAATCCCGCGGCCTTCGGTCGCGAAATTTACAGATTTACGATGGTATAGTGATTTTATTTAAAAAATCTTACAATAAGCCACCATTTATAACCTTACATAATTCTATTTACAATCTTTCAAGCCTATTTAGGGAAAAAAAATTTTTTAAATTTGTAGCTGATAATCAACTTATATTTAAATGCAATCTTTTCATAATTTGGTTGATATTCACTTTATTTTCATAAAATATATATAAGTGTATTAAATGAGATAACATTAATATTTCTATAAAAAAGATCTAAAATATTGTAAAAAATATAAGACGAATAAATTTAAAGAGGTATATTTAGCTTGATTCCACATATCTATATTACCTTTTAATTAATTAAAAACATGTTTTGTAAATAGAGCTATTATATAAAATATTAGAATAAAATGAATTATAGTATATTTTGCATTGAAATTATAAAATGTTAAATTAAATTTACATATTTTAAAAGCGTATATATTCGCTGTGAAAAAGATACATTACTTATTTTATTAATAATCTTTCTGGATAACCTTATAGATGTTATTGCAAATTGTATTATAATATCATCAATTGTAAATTTTTCAAAAACAGCAATTTCGCTGGATATTAACAGTAAATTTTCTAAAAATGGGTCCGAAATTTTATTCCGCATTAGAGTTTTGTTAATTTTTACTTTACTCATGGCTCTTTCGGCTGAACAGGAAGTTGTAGGAAGGGTTAATAAATATTTATATAATAAATTTTAATTAAAATAAGAATTTAATTGATTTAAAAGTCGGTATGGTAATATAAAAGAATATTTTATCCATTTTTTTATTTTGGTCATGATTTCGCTGTTTATTTTCTTCGGTAGTTTGATCGTTTGCAATACCTTTAATTATATACAATTACAAATAAAATATCAATAAATTACTATCAATATATAACGCGTCATTCTTTTTAACTTTCAATAGATCTTCGCAAAAAATGATTGATTGAGACTCCAAATATAAAGAGCGAAAATCATTATATTCATATGCAATGTTTTGGACATCCAATTGATAAGTATGACAAATTTCGGATATTTGCCATCCTTCTATTTTTTCATTATCCATAATTCCAGCGGGAGTAAAAATGGATATTTATGATAAAAAATTTAAACAATCATAATTAAATCGATATTTAGGTGGTTAATTATTGCATTTAGCACAGGGAAAAATATTTCCGTTCAATATCTATAACAATAAATAATAATTTAAAATTTTTTAATTTATTCAACTTGTTTTTTTTTGTTCAACATAATTATTGAATTCTGTTTGATCCAATTTGAATATTGATTTCATATTATACAAATCAGTTATTACATTATTCTTTTTCAAAAAACTATTAGATAAGGAATATAATTTTAAAAATATATTGTCTCCATTAGCTATATTTTAAAATTATTTATAGAAATAGTAACTAATATTAACCTTTTAGTCTTTATGTGTACATTTCAATATTTCTTTCAAAATAAATAGACTTAATATAAAATTTTCATCCTTAATTCTTGATAATAATCCATAGGCAATGGAAGAGGTGCTTGGGTCATTAGAATCTTTTAATTCAACTAAAGATGCTAAAATATGTTCATAAAAGTTATAATTTAATTTAAATTATAACTTGGTCCTAAACATATATAATATGCGATGAATTACATCTACCTCACATAAAGATATTGGTATTTTATATTTTATATTTTATATTATTTTTAATTTTTGGAAGGCAATTAATAATTCCTCTATCCGCTAATAATAGGGTATCTAATCCTAGTCTTAAAACAAAGCTTATAAAAATCCTGGATTTTGGATTTAATATCTTTACATCCCTCGACAAATATTGCAGATAGAAATCCTGAAATCCCTATTTCCCAACCTCATAGGATTTTCCATCCTATGTTTATCATTCTTTTCTTCATAAACATCTAAAAAGATTTCTACAGATTTGTAGGATAATTTCTAAAAATATATAAGTTTCATTAAAAATATTTTATTTACCTTGTTGTGTTTTTAATTCTTTTAAGAGATTTCTTGGACTTTCTCATTTGATATTTAAAAAAAAAACCTTGACGTCTAACTCCATTCATAAAATTATATAACTCATCTAATATTCCCATTGCCTTTTTCATTTCAATTTTGCATCCACAAACATGAGCAACTACTAAATTTAGCCGATGTGCATGGCACCAAATATAGATGGCTTTTGGAGCCTCTTTCAATATTAAAGCCTGCATTCCTTTGTATACTCCTCTCATATTTCCTGCACCATCCATACTTTGTCCAACCAAATAATCAAGAGGAAGACCAAGATCATTAAACTTAGAAAAAACATGTTTCTTTATATTTTTCCTACTGGTTTCTGATGTTGTAAAAACATGTATGATCCTTTCTACAGGATGTGGATGCAGATCATCTTCTATATACCGTACAAGCAAAGCTATGCATTATTTTTTAGACACATCATATGTTCCATCTAATATGATGCTATAGGCACGATTCTCTTTAATTTTTTGAATAATGCTTTTTGTTATTTTTATCTTAATAATTTCAGTTATTTTTTTCACGTGGCCATATGACAATAAATTTATATAAGGTCTCGAAATTTTATCTGATTTTTTTCTCCGCAATTTTTCGTTGTTATCCATCTATGTACGTAAAGTTGGAACCGTTTTTGCCATTGATTTTATGAGACACATAAAATTATCTTCATTTAAATTAGAACCCCAAAAGGCTATATTACATTTTATAAGGTGCATAATGGCATCGATAATATTATGAACTATATTACGATTTTCCATGATTATATCAAGCTTATTTGATAGCAAATGATCTTGAATGCGTTTATTTGCAAGCCAAGTCATATTTGCATATTCACAATCTTTATGAAGAGAAGATACTTAGTGTCTCTCTAAGTCACGCTTTATGTTTTTCCAATTATTTACCCCAAATTGAGTCCAAAAAGTATTGGACTTAGGGCCACCAAACATAAGACAATATAGACAAAAGACTTTGTTTAAAGTAGTGCTATAAGATAGCCAATTTCTGGGGTTGAGGGTACCATCTATATTAACCTTTCTATAATAGGTTATATTCATGCTCCTGTTTAAAAAGTAAAAAAAAATAAAAACTGGTATAGAAATAATGGATGGGAAAAATTAATGAAAATTAAATATTATTTAAAACCTCTTGAGAGTAACAGGATATTAAAATTTATTTGTACATGGCTGACAAGGGCCTACAGCAATTATGAAATTAATCAAAATATTTGTCATCCTAAATAATTTGAAGTGAAATGGGTCATTTGGTTCCTTCTTTTTGTATAGCTGAATAAGACTTGGACTTTGAATATCCTCATAATTTATTCCCTTCAAAAGTTATTATATAAATTTTATTTAAATAAAATACCTCATGCAAAGTAAGCGCCTGACTAGAACTGGGGATTGGATGAGGAGATAATACAATTTGTGAATCTTCAATAACTGAGATTTTCTATAAATAAAGAGGATTTTAATTTCTTTTCTTATGAAAAACTATATTTTTAATAAAATTTTAGCCAAATGGTAATTTTTTTCTTAACAACATAGTAATTAAGTTTTTAATAAATGTTGGAAATTTGAATAACCTCATAATCATAATTTATTTCCTTCAAAAGTTATCATATAATTCGTATTTAAATTAAATACCTCATCATGCAAAGTAAGCGCCTCACTGGAACTGGGGATTGGATGAGGAGATAATACAATTTGTGAATCTTCAATAACTGAGATTTTCTATAAATAAAGAGGTGTTTAATTTCTTTCCTTATGTAAAACTATATTTTTAATAAAATTTTAGCCGTAATTTATTTCTTAACTACATTTTAATTAAGTTTTTAATAAATGTTGGAAATATTTGAATAACCTCATAATCATAATTTATTTCCTTCAAAATTTATCACATAATTCATATAAATTAAATACCTCATCATGTAAAGTAAGCGCTTCACTGTAACTGGGGATTGGATGAGGAGATAATACAATTTGTGAATCTTTAATAACTGAGATTTTCTATAAATAAAGAGGAGTTTAATTTCTTTCCTTATGAAAAACTATATTTTTAATAAAATTTTAGCCAAATGGTAATTTTTTTCTTAACTACATTATAATTAAGTTTTTAATAAATGTTGGAAATATTTGAATAACCTCATAATCATAATTTATTTCCTTCAAAATTTATCACATAATTCGTATTTAAATTAAATACCTCATCATGCAAAGTAAGCGCTTCACTGGAACTGGGGATTGGATGAGGAGATAATACAATTTGTAAATCTTTAATAACTGAGATTTTCTATAAATAAAGAGGAGTTTAATTTCTTTCCTTATGAAAAACTATATTTTTAATAAAATTTTAGCCAAATGGTAATTTTTTTCTTAACTACATTATAATTAAGTTTTTAATAAATGTTTTAATTCTACAAGATTACATGATTCAGAAAACAGGCATTAAAAATATTATGAAGTCCAACATAAAGTTATCAGGTTACAATGGCAAGATGATACAAGTGATAGGTACAGCAGGGAATGTAGAATACATAATTCACAAATTTTGAACGCGTTAATCATAACATTAATAAAATGTCTTTGTTAGGAAGATCATGTTAAAACATGAAAATATACTTGAAAGATTCATAGGCATGATAGGTGCAGAAATATAAAACTGCGAACACATGAAGAAATCATAAAAGAATATTATAATTACTGTAAAAATAATAGTAAACTTATAAATAGAAAAATTAGTATAAATAACATTGTGAAATTTATGATGAAAGTATATTATCTAAAGAAATTCTAATAGCTAAATAAAACAATAATAATATTATAAACATACCTAATATAACACATAATGTAAGTGGATTAAATTCACGCAAATAACATTTTGAAAATAGTTGAATCCAATTAATATTATAAAAAAAAGTAAAAGAACTTTGAAATCTTAATTCAATTAAAGATGAAAAGATTTAAATTTAAAAATTCCCAGAAATTAACATTACCTTACTTTTATTATTTTACAACATTATATTAACTTATTTTTTTATAACTTGGTTTTAAATTTTTATTATTAACCTATTAAACATATTGTTAAATTGAACTTTATAAAGTATATATAGATATAAAAATAGTGTGATAAACAGTTAAAAAAAAATTTAATAATAAAATATATAATTTATTTTCTCTATACCCTGACTACTTTAATATTAATATTATTCTGGTAAAATTTTAAATAAAAATCAGTTTCTATTAATTCACAAATTTAAGGTATATTTTCAATAATATTTATTGTCTTTAGTTACAATAATAAATAAAAAATATTACTTTTTGGAAGTAAGATGTTATTGTCTTTTTTTGCAACTGGGTTTCAACTCCATTTGTGATATTATATGGATATCACAATTTAAGGATACCCAATTATTATTATCTCTTTTGATGGCTACCTATGTAAATTTCATATCAGTTGGTTTGACATGAGGATGTTTATGTTTAAAATGTTCACGTATCTTGTCACTTCTTATTTTAGAAGTTTTACAGTTAAGGTAATTACACTTTACCTTAAATAAGGTTCTATTACTTGGCATCTAGAAAGAAATAATTATTATAATATAATTTTTTACATATTATGTTTTTTATTATTCTTTGCTTGCTGATATATGTTTTTAAGCATGACTCAAAAAATTACCTAAAATTTATTCTGCTAAAATCTATAAATTTATTAAAAAACATAATATAAATATATTAACCTTAAGAAAAGTACCAAATAGGAAATGTGTAAATATTAACTTGATAAAATGGTAAATGAAAATGGTTGACAAAGAAAGTTTATATTATTTATTAATTGACAAATATCATACTTTAATTGACATTTGTCAGAAAATCAACGATAACCATCATAATCATATCAATTAATGGATTTAAAAAGATTATAATTCAAATCAAAAATTACCCCCCAAAAATCAATATCAACCCCCCCCCCAAAATCAATACCTACCTCCAAAAATGCCAATATATTTTGGAGGCATTTGTCTCCTAACCCCCCTCCCCCCCCCCCCCGGCCATGTAGACGCTGCTATATTTTATTGTAGAGTTCAAAAAGTATACTAATTTTATATAAAAAACTATAACTAAAATACTAACTTAAAAAAAAGAAGAGAGACAACCTCTTCATCTTTACGAGAGTAATATTGCAGCAGACTACAATTCCTTAATCCCAAATCTCAAAAGTTATGGATATTTGCATAAATACGCATTCAAAAAAAATAAATATATCCGAATATTTAAAAACTATTCATATATTAGAGGATATAGAATAAAAATTATTTGAATATCGCCATGAATTGTGGTGTATTTATTAATTTATCTCAGAAATCTTTATAATAGCTGAAGTTAAAAGGTTAAAAATTGCTTTAATTTTAATTAAAAGATATAATTTCATTAACATAATCTATATTTATAAAAATTTAGATATACCTAATTAGTGATTAAACGGCACTATTTGGCTTGACTTTAAAATAGCACAAATACGGATATACTTAAAATATATTATATAAGTCTCGAGATTTAGAAACTAAAGGGCCAAAAAATTTTGCCACCTAAAATATTCAGGCTTTCATAATTGACTAAAAACTTAATTGGACCTTTTAAAAAATCGACACATATTTAGCTATTTAATGACAGTACCTAATATATAACTAACCCAATATAGAAGCTGTGTAAAATGCCTTTTAATGTAGTATTGTTATATTCAACCATAAATTTTTAAAAGATATTAATATTACAAATTAAAATATTAGCAATTTATAAAATAAATATATGGTCTATAGTTTTCTTATAAAATTATTGTTAACATCAAAACTCTATATATTATATTTTTACTATATTTTATAATTATTTAATAAATTTATTTTAATAATTAAAAATGTATATTATTATTAATTAATTTATATTTAATAATTTATGTTATTAAGCATAATCATATCTATTTATATCAATTATTGAGAATTTATATAGAATATGTGGTTGATTAGTATAAATGTCGCAATTACGTGATACGTGATAAAAGCGTTTTCGCCCTCTGGTTGTGGTTACAACAGAGCTACGCTAGCTTTTCCTCAAAATCCATCAAACTGGATAGTTTATTAGGGGAAGAAAAATGAGGAGCCCTTCACACGTTTGTGGAGCCGCACGTACTTGTAGGCGCAACATTTCGAAAAAAGTTGCTTAAACCTCTATAGGTTTAGTAAAAAGGAATGGGGTAAAAAAAGAGCCTATACCCTAGAACTACAGTATAATTTAATTACTTTAAAGGTGGGTGATGGCTGATTTTAAGTTTAAATTCTTTAATGTAAGTTTTGATGATTACTGTCACTATTGAGATTTAATGTTCATAAAATCTGTAAAATATGATTAAAATAAAAAAATTTGTCTGAACAGTAGATATAGTGTTATTTTTTTTATTAATAATTCAACCCATACAATACAGTAATCATAGTCTATGTTCAATTTAATGTAACCATTAAAGGGAATTGAGTGGATAAAAATATTTAGTATAAAATTGGATGATCCTTTGCTCTTATAAATTGGAAAAGGATGTAGATATATACAATAGTGGAATGAAATGTTCAATAACCTAATTGTGTGATCTTTTGATTCTTATATTTACAAGTATAAGGAATTCAATATATCTAATTGTGTGACCCTTCACTTAACTTTGGATCTGATATACTCAACAATTTAAAATAGATCAAATGTAACTATTCCAGTTTAGAAGGTATATGTGTAAGTAAACTTATAATTGCGAAAGGAAGATATTATAATAAATCTAATTGTATGGTTATTTTATACTTACTGAGTGGAATAAAAAATTTTCAATATAAAATTGCCCAATGTTTATATTATATTTGTAGATAAATGCCAAATTTTATTCAATAGTTGATTTAAATAAACCCTTAAAATAAACCTTTATCATACATTTATTGGAGAAAAAGTAAAAATATTATTTTATCTCTTTTTATTTCTCTTTTTCAATCAACTATTTATATATTTTTTACAAACTAAAATTAGAATATAATATTAAAAAGGTTATTATGAAGAATTATTATTTTTAAAAAAGACATATTGAATTAAAACTAGGGTGTGAAATTAAAAATTTTTTTAAAGAGTGGGAAATGTGAATAATATTTTATTTGCATATTTTAACCTCAGGATTGAAAATATTAATTTATAAATAAAAATAAATTAACACTAAAACACGAAAAAATAAATTGGAGACTTAAACGCAAAAAATAAATTGAACACTAAAATGCGAAAAATTAAAACGCTAAAAATATTATATAACAATCTTATTGATTTATCATTCTTCATTTATTCTTATATCCAATCTGATGAATTATTATTTCTCATTATTCGTAACTTACTGATGATAATAACAATTTTGAAAAATGATAATAATAACAACTGAGTATGACAAGCAAGCTATATGACAAATTCACGATTTATAAAGACAACTTACGATAAGGATATCATTACGATTTAAACAAACCAACGATTGGGACAAGCCAACGATTACAATGACTTATGAAACAACTTGATTACCAAAACGATAAACCATTTGGACAACAAACTCTCTATGACTTTTTAGATTAAATTATGGGAAGGCTTTTTAGAAGAGGGAGAATGTTATATTATAGAAATTAATAAATTAATATAATATATATTTTGGTTATTGAATAGTAATATGTTTTAATTTATGTAACGCACATTCATTTAATTCTGTTTAGAAATGAACACATGAAAGCCGCTCCAGAGAGCATTTCTAAATATCTATTAGCCATATTCACCAAAATATGGCATTCAGGCAAAACCCCAGATGATTGGAATAAATCCACAATCTGCAACTTCCCCAAGAAACTCCATCCTTCATCTTTCGCAGACTACAGGGCCATTGCTCTCACCTCCACTGTCTCAAAGGTGTTCATGGTGCTCCTGAAGAACAGAATCCTAGCTTCTACCAAAAACCTCCTATCAAATAATATTTGCGCCTACAGGCCAAATAAAAACATTAACGAACCCATTCTAGCTCTTAAAATCTATCTCCAGAAGTGCTTTAGATATAAACTCCCTTTCATATTTACTTTCATAGACTACAGCAAAGCCTTCGATAACGTAAAACACAATGCCCTCTGGGAAGTTTTAGCAGATTGCAATATTGATCTTAACATAATTAAAATCTTGAAGTACCATTACAATAACTCTTGGGCCAAATTACAGCTAGGCCAAACTTTCTCACCTTACTTCAAG